ATAGGTTTTTAATTTTAATTATTGGATGAAACAGAAAATCAATATTTAATGTGTGTATTGAGTGAATTCCAAAGTGTTTGTCCTTCAAATAAAATGATCTATGTCAAATAGTTATTGAGGCTGAGCGGAGAACATATTTTATATAGCAAATAAAATTATTGGAAGATCTGATGGTGCATCAGTAGACATAAATAATTGAAAGAGAATGAGAATGAAGATGACAATGTGAATAAGCATGAGAATTATAATAAGCACAATGATAAGAATGAAGATAATGATGGTAATATTGAGGATGAAAATATTTATAAAATGAAGCAGGGGTGGCTCCAGCGGGGTGAAGGCCCCTGTCAGGGAGGAAAACCACAATTTGTCGGGGAGAAAAAAGAAATTATCCATAATTTTTTGACCTTAAAATCGATTAAATAAGCCTTTGAAACCCCTAAATTTTCAACATTTTCGGGGGCTTCACCCCCGGACTATTTTTGAAACATTTTAAGCGACGCTTGACCACACCCACTTTGCTCTCGTGAAAATCTTCGCTCTCGTCGTGAAAATCTTCAACCTCGTTGGGGGCATCCCCCATTGTCGGGCACCTCGGACCCCCTGGAGAAAGTCCTGGCACCACCCCTGGAATGAAGGAGGATAATAGTGACCATAATAATAAACAAAATTATGACACTATGAATGATGATGATATTCATAATAGGGATGAAACAATACTGATAGTAATAGTGTACTAATTATGAAGATGAGATAATGCTGAAGAAAAGACTGGTAATAAGGAGGATAAGTAGAGGGATAGGGCTGAGAATAATAATGATAATAAAGATTGTAAGTAATAATTAGGCTGATAATTATGAAGTCTAGAATTCTGAGGATATAAATGATAATGAAGATTGTGATGTGCTGGTGATGAGGATAAGAATGTTGTATGATGAAAATGAGATTAGAAGATTAGAATGATTCCGATGATTGGATCAGAGGAGGATGGTAATGATGATAATTAGAATGATATTGATAAAGAAGGCAAGAATAGAGATGATTATGGGATAGTAATTTGTGGAAGCGGTTTGGCGCAGCATGAAAGGTTTGGTTTCCCAACCTCGAGGTCGGGGTTTCAATCCCTCGCTGTGCATTTGCTTGTGTCCTTGAGCAAGACACTTTATCTGCATTGCTTCTCTCCTCCCAGGAGTATAAATGGTTTCCTGGTGGGGTTGCTTGCTCCTGCGCTGAATACAGCAGCAACACTTAGCATGTGGATCCAATGACCAGGGACAGAAGCGCTTCGTATCTGCAAAGAAAGGCGCTATATAAATAAATATGATTAGATTAGATAGTAATGATGAGGATATTAATGATACTGACAATCGTAGCTATCGGTTGATTTTCTGAGGGACAACTTGAATTCCTGCTCCACAACAAGCTTTGCCACTGTACCCTACAGTATTTCCCTATGTCGAATGGTTGAATATACCTTAGTCAATGACTGATTGCATCACTCAACTCTCACATTCTATTAATTGGCAAATTAGATTGCTATATGAAATCAGAGGATTCCTTGACTTTGACACTTGTCACCTTATTGACTGTGACACTTGTCACTTTATTGACTGTGACACTTGCACTTTATTGACTGTGCCCTCATTCTGTCCTGAATTGATTAGTGCTTCAATACCTGTATATTATTAATGAGAAAGATCTCTCTTGTCTCTAATAATGCCAGCCATATTTATTCAATCCATTTAACAAACTTGTTTCCTGTCTCTTGTCCTGGTTTTCTGCAGTCTTATGGAGTATGTCTCTTTCAGTCTGTCTCGTATTAATTATTAAATGTACCCTTCTGTAATTTTCCGTTTCCCCACTGTTTATGCTTACCCCATTCTCAATTTCAGTCTTTGTCATTATAAATATACAATACTATGTAACTTAGGAAAGACTATATTTTTTTTCTCATGGTGTCACTATTTTATATATTTTCTCATTATCCTAAGGTAAGAAGAAACTTTATAAATATTTATCATCATCATTATTATGTCCGTCAAAATAATATTTTATATATTTGATATATTATAATTTATTTAAATTATATTATTAACATGCTTATGTCATTTGTGTGTTTATTCAGTACATGCCTCTTGAGATTGTTATGAACAAACTTATGAAATTTCCACCGTACGTAATATCTGAGAACTTTAAAAAGCCATTTGCGACAATATACTGTACGTGGAATGAGTTGAAGCTCATTGGATTATTGTTCAACCTGGTTCATATAGCGATTCCACTAGAGACTAATACCGTGCTACTCTGTATCTTGTGTCAACGTCCAAAATCATTACTCTGACCTGCTTTTCTTTATCTTTGCCATCATTATCAATATCTACTGGCTTCCAGAAGATTGTGGTTTTATGAAACAATGTTATCTAGATTATTGACCTTATAAGGGCAGAATTGGCCTATAAACTGCAATATTTTCATAATTATTTTCAGAGACATTTAAAAATAAATATTAGGTAATTTTTTAAATTTTCAGAGTTTACAGTAAAAGTAAAGATTGTGCTACTTTTTCTTGTGATTTTTGTTCTGATTGATTAATTGATTTCTTTCGATTGAGGTGTTATTTGGTAGATTAATTTAATTTAATGTGCTATTGATTGGTTGCTTGATTTGTGGGTAAATTTGTTTATAATAATAATAATAATAATAATATAATAATAATAATGAACACTTTGAATTCTACTGTATCTACCATGCTATTCTGAGGTGCAGTGACTCTTGATGAAGAGATAGTGTTTTCTTTTTGATTTAAAAAAAATTGATTGATTTTTAAGAAGAGCACACTTCTATAAATGCTACTGGAAGGCAATCAAATGACAAAATTTCCATCTTGACAAGAGCATGACAAATGATGGGATTTATCGTGCGTCAGCATTGCAGACAAAAGTAATTCTCGATTCCCTGATGATAAACCTTAGGATTGAGTTTGAAGTACGAAGGAATGATACGAAATGTTATAATTCAGAGAAATTCTGATGTTATATTAAACAAAAAACTTTGTTCTGCACCCAAAAAATGTCTACAAAATAATGGTCTCATAAATGTTTTAATCTTTCTGATTTTTTAATGTTTAATTACTAAGAGTGTTTTTTAGACTTGCATGATACAGACTGATAAAAGTAATGAAGCCGTGTTAGTCTAAACAATATACACAGATTATAAAAGACAGCACTCTGAGACTTAACTTTGATGTAATTTATTCAACACAAGCTTTCGCTGGCAGTCAATGCCAGCTTCATCAGGTGTGTGGTACAGACTGCAAGTATACATGCTACTGAAACAGGTCTTGACTCCTGCCATTGGGGGCGCAATGGTTGTTGTGGTCTTAGACTTTCTTAAGCAGCCCAGTGGTGAGCAGCCTAGTGGTGCATGGAATGTTTGGTTTGACTCGTACTTCATTGTATAGCAAAGCATACTCCATAGGGTGTCGGTCAATATGGATCCAGTGAATTAATATAAAGCGTTATTCACCTTTAAAATAAACCTTTTTAAATGTGAATGTATATAATATTACTCAAGCTAATTTGTATTAGTCTGCGGATTCAATTTTGGAAGGATCAATTTTAATCAAAAGGATTTAGATTAGATTCACACTTAATTAAAAATGAGGATTATTTCTAGGATAAGATATTATTCAAGTACAGATAATATTTGATAAGATTTAATGCATAAAGAATTTATTTTGCATCCATACAGGATTTAGGATTAGACCAGTATTAGTCCGCAGATTAAATCATGAAAACTTACCAATTTTATTCTAAGGATTTAGATTAGAACCACACTTAATAAGATTACAAATGAGAATTAATACTGTTTCTAGGATAAGATATTATTCAAGTAAAGATAAATTTTGCTCATCAAAACTTTAACTGGCATCTAGACAGGATTAGGATTAAATCAGGATTAGTCTGCAGATTAAATTGTGAAAAATTATCAGTTTTATTCCAAGGATTTGGGTTAAACCACACTTAAAAAAATTAAAATGGAGAATTAATACTATTACTAGTATAAGATATTATTCAAGTGAAGAAAAATTTTGTTCAATTCATCAAGACTTTAATTTGCATCCAGACATAATTAGGATTAGACTGCAGATTAAATTGTGAAAACCTATCAATTTTATTTTAAGGATTTAGATTAGATCCCCACTTAAAAGGATTAAAAATGAGGATTAAATACTATTTCTAGAATCAGTTACTATTCAAGTAAAGATATATTTTGTTTTAGGAATATATCAGACGTAGATTATGAATTAATAAAAGTAGGATTAGATATAAATATAAAGTAGGAAGGATTATATAAAGCCAATGATACTAGATTGAGAGATTGGAAAAACTGATATTGCAATATCTAGTCAAAAATATTGTCATTCAGTAAAGAGTAAAATTAGGAATTGGGATGTTGTTTCGTACTTGGTTGAAATCAGAGAAGCTTGTTTATCCCTTTGTGGTGCTGTAAATAGAATATTGGTATTGAAAATAATAAGAGATGAAAACTTATTAACTTTTAAATGGAAATGGAAATGGAAAAGTCTTGAGTTGGATCAACTATGTAACAACCATAAAAATTCATTTTAACAATAAGAAAATATAGAGCTCTTCTGTAATAAGTTGCTAGCAAAAAGTAAATATACATAATAAAAATATTATCATAGTATATTTCTTTATGCATAATAGTATCAATTATATTGAATCTGAATGGTTACATCACAGCATGTTTACATTGTAATTTACTACCTACCAAAAATACTTTTTTTTCTCTATTATTAAAAAAAAAATACTGTCGTTTTAATGAAAAACATTTGTATTTTTACATATTATAATACCATGGAGTAATATAGTAATACCTTCATGATAATACTTTTGATGTTTAAAAAAAAAAAATGATACAAATTTTATATTCATATCAATATATATCATTGATACATTTCTCCCATTTTTTTTTAGATACTGTCCAAGAGAGACAAATCTTATTGAAAGAGGCATGTCCAGAGTTGCAAAAATACTGTCAAGAATATGGACTCGAGTTCCAGGTATGAACCTTACTCTCCAATCTGAATGACAGTACTCCTGGTGGCGCTGTCCGAGATGGTGATTTAACACTTTTCAGCAAGGTCTAGTGTTGAAGCCGTCATAGAGTGCAGGGGGCTAAGCAACAGTCTGGGTTATTTTTTGACCAGTTGTTCTGAGATGGTTTAACATGATGATGCTATAAATTTAATTTTCCTCTTTTTGTTTCAACAATTTGTGACTATCAGATGGCTTGTCACCCGGTCCTTCAAGTTCTCACTCCTATAAATTAGACACAATGTGAAAATTGTTGATTCTGTTAGCTCTTTGGTTAAAAATGATGTCAGAATTTTGAGTTATCTAAATCGATAATTTAATGTCTGAACAGGAAGGTGACCTTGGAAATATCTATCGTGATAATACTAACCATTAGTAACGGCTAGCCATTGTGTGTGAAATTTTCCATATTTCTTGAAATAATAGTTGTAATAATCCTTAGATGTTACTAATAACTGTAGGTGAATTGTCTTGAGAAGTGTTGGACAGGATGCAATATTAATGACCTTGGTGAGCTTGTTACAATTATGGATCTTGTCATGATCTCAAAAGGGAGGTTATAACATGACAACTAAAACAGTTTTGTTTATGTTACAGTGCCTTATGGTCATCTGATCAGCCTTATAGGTAAAGATGACAATACAAGGTTGTTTTTTCCAATTAGGCTTATACTTACACTGTTAATTGGGACGGTTTTGATAGTCTGGCGCAGCAATTTTTATTCAGTTTCTGAACTTCATGGACTGGTGTTCAAACCACATGCTGACCATTCTTAGAGATAGATAGATAGATTTTAGAATTTCTGTAGCGCCGGTTAAAATGGAAGTTGTCACTAGCGCTTTACAATATATTACACATAAAGAGCAGAAATACAATAAATAATAATAATAGTGGAATAATAATAATAATAATAATAATAATAATAATACTGTAATAATAATGGGAATAATATAAATATCGATAATACTAATAAGAACAATAATAATAATAAAAGTATAACAATAAAAAATAACAATCACAACAATAAAAATATTAAAGGTAATGGTTGGTGTTGCTGCTTTGAGATAATTATTTTTAGCGCCTCAAAATATCCGGAAATGGCACTCTCAGAAAGTGTCTTAGTTTCAAAATAAAAAGTTCAATTTTGAACACACACACAAAAAAAACCCAAAATTGCACCACCAGGATTTTTCACATGATAGGTCAAATGTCGTCGAGTTCACCCTAGGTATTTCAGTCCTAAATGCAAGTACATGTATGGATTGTGATTATGATAAAAATAATGGATGCTTCTCGAAACTTCTTTTATATAGTTTAATGTAAACAGGATCATTTTTTTATTATTCTTATAAACATTCTGTGACTGGGGATAATTGTAGAGGGTGTGTGAAGATTTTTTAATCATAGAAGAACTTCAAATACATCACTAATACCTTATTCTAAGAGTTTTATTTTATTTAATGTTGCTATTTGTTGCTATGCAAGTTTATCTCAAAATCTATCAAGAATATAGTAATAATTACTGTACTAATTTGTTTTTTTGTCCTAGCTTGTTGATCTCCATCAAGGACCTAAAGATCTAGCGGCCAATGATCACGAGGCAGCGGCACTCCGCATGAATGAAATCCGCGAGGCTCACAGGATCTCGCAAGGGCCATTTTTTGTGGTAAGCTCAGAAACTGATACAAAATTACTAATTCCTATATGCATGATGGGCTCTTCACACTAAACTAGTTCGAAGAACATTCCTGCCCGTTCTGAAACTTATATGAACCTTGATGAGGACGGGTTGAAACGTGCAATTTTGGATTTTACTACGACATAACACAGTTTGAAGTAAGTGCATTACGATTGCAGACAGTTTGTACAACGTTCGCACAACGTTTAGAACGGGAAGACGTTACGTTCAATGTCATTTACAGTCTGTTCTTAACAAGTTCCAACCCATTCTACTGTAGGAAATTTCTACACAATTCGAACTGACATGTCCATTCAAACCAGTCCATGCTCAGTCTTGCCTGTTTGCATTGCTTTCTCAGGCAGTCTTTAACAAGTTTAAAACGGGAATCTGGATCATGTTCCAGCCCGATCTGCTATAATACAACCCTTATCAAGCCTCTTCTAATTTGTCTGTCTGAGAACAGGCAGGATGGGGTGGTACGTAACAACATCGGTGTTGGATTGTACTCCTATTTTCCCCCGTTCTCATGACGATCAGCTTGTTTTTTACCCATTCTTTCCATGTTCGCAGTACAGCAATTCCGTTTTTAGTACGGCAATCTCGTTTGAAATACGACCATTACCCGATCCAATTTTTTTAGGGTAGAACAAGATCAAATTTTAAACATGGTCGACGTACTGGACCACCATTCCCGTCCTTGCCTGTTCGTACCATTCATACTAAGATTGTATTCGATGTCTACTACGTCCATTTCGTTCATATTCCGTTCGTCCCCATTCCACCTTGTTCTATAGAACGTAGTGCGAACTAGTTCAGTGTGAAGGGGGGTATAAGTTCAATAACTAGATTCATAGTAGTTTAATAGTGTATGTGATGTCAACTGTACTATGGTTAGTTTGCAGCTGTTGCAATGATCGTCTTGCTTGTGTTTTTTATTTAATGAGCCACTCGTTATTACTGTAATCAGAATCTGTTTTATTGTTGATTTTAATATGTAATATAGTAATTACTTGTCTATTTATAGGATTTTCATTCTCATTCAGTCCATTGTAGGCAACAAGTATGGAGAGTGCATCTTACCAGTTGAAATTGAAAGTAATGAGTTCTCCCAGATTAGAGACTGTGCATTTGAATCTGGCAAAGGTATGGCATTTCTAATTGCATGACAACACCTATGTGGGGAAGTGGGCTTACCTGTCTGACAATGTGGTCTAGCTGCATAAACTAATTTGTTCATTGCATCTTTGAAATAGGTGTAGATAAAATATTTCTGTAAGGTAGGCAGACATGCGTTGTTTTTAGTTATAGATGTAAAAACACTGGCCTAGAATTCATCACAGTGCGCTATATTGCAATTGAATTATCCTTTTACACATGACCCTAAAAAAAATCAAGCGAGCCATGCACTAATTAAAATTTAGTTTACTGTGGGATAGAAACATTGGGAGTTGCAATGATGACTGATACTTATAATTGTTAATATTAATACAATTGAATTTTTGAGAATTTGTATATTTTAATGAGAAGTAATATTATATATAACACTGTATATGTACCTTTCAAATGCAGACACCGTGCCAAATTCCTGCTCAAAAACACATAATACCTAATTTGCATCTACACCGGCCCAACTCTACATATACACGTCAAATTTGAAATTCCCTCCACTCCTGAAGATTGCCTAGTGCATGAAACAGCCTGTAGAGTGAAATTACAAGTTCC